AGCGTGTACTTGGTTTTGGACATATGATAAAGACAAAGTCAGACTCAGCTACGATCCTCTTGTGATCAAATAGCCTGCTGCACGTTGTCTAACATTTGATAAACAATTACATGTACAAGGTTCTGAAGGATGACGTAGAACCAAGGAAACTCATGGAACCATACCCCACATGAACTTGCCTTCATGGTGGGGTAGGTTGATGAGAGTTAAAATAATAACAATTATAGATTATAGGTATAGTTATATGTATTAAATTTTGGATATGTGAGGAATAACATTAACGATTTGAAACAAAGATTACCATCCCGCTGATAGTATAAAGGTGCACTTCTTTTTCAGAATGCATCTAATTTGATATTTTTAACTTGTTAGTGATTGCCACTCGGAGTGACATGTTCCATTCTGAAATTAATGTCTCACGTTGGCTTTACATTCTGGCAGCTGCGTGAACCTTATGGGAATTTTCTAAATATAGTTGTTTTTGTTTCTAAGTACAAACCTAAGTAAACCGAATGAATACCTACAAAGAGAGGTAAAATAATTGGTAAAGAGTATACAGAAAATTGTTTCAGGGCATGAATGGAGCTAAAGATAAAATGTAACATTTTCTTGGTGCACAGATGATTTTTCACATTATGACGTCCTGGTTTCAGGAGCACCACCAAATGAACAACATTAATTTGAATTTATATAAATGTCCTTCACGGGAGATAATGTCTCAGAGTGCTGCACAGTGGTGGATTGGAGGCCGGTGTCTGCCGAGAGGAGGGAGCGGACATGCTGATATGGGGTTAGGAGATCAGAGACGTAGGGGGAAGCACAGCGGGTTTGAAGAAAGGTGAGCAGAAGTGACATTTGGGTTTGGACCATTGGTCCAGGTGAGAGATTTTGAAAATGGCGTCTCGGCGCCTGGAAAACTCCTCGTCCAGAAACACCGTGGCCTCGGCCCCTCGACGGTGGCTGACTGTTTGTTCACCCGAGGCCTCTGCGTGGGCCACTCTGATCTTGCCTCTCGCGTCTTCGGCATGGGCACAGGGCAAGGTTGGTCAGCGCTCCCCGGTCGTGGTCCTCTTCTCCGACACCTATCGTTTACCATGCGCCTGTTTGCATTTGGGAATGATTTGTACGGGAAGGTGGTGACCAAAAGAAGGGAAACAAAATGAGGCAGTCTTGTGCACCAAGCAGGTGCATTCATAACATCCAGGCTCCACTACACAAACTCGCTGCTTGTCAGCCTCCTCAACTACTCCCTCCATAGGCTGCAGACCATCCAGGACTCTGCAGCCCGTGTCCTCTCCCGCACCAGGCTCCGTGACCCTATCATCCCCATCCTCGCCCGACTCCATTGGCTTCCCATCACACAGAGGATACAGTTCAAGGTCTTGGTCCTCACTTTTAAAGCCCTCCATGGCCTCGCTCCCCCCTATCACTGTGACTTTCTAACCCCCTACCAACCTGCCCACTCTCTCCGCTCAGCAGCTCCAGCCTGCTTCACATCCCTTGCCCGCCCACTATTGGCAGGTGTGCCTTCAACCACCCTCTGGAACACCATCCCTCAGTCCGTCCGCCTCGCCCATCCCTTGCCTCCTCAAGACCCTTCACAAGTCCCTCCTCTTCGACCGTGCCTTTGGTCACCCTCCTTCCCCCTCTGCCCCCCACCCTCCCCAATCCCCAGCTCAGTTCTGAAACACTGATTGTCCAGCACCTTGGTACGTCTTCCCGACATTTTGTTGTTGTCGCTACAAACCTGCCACCCAACATCCAGGAAACGTTGTTTGAGCTCCATGACTTTGATGTAAGTGAAGCTAACAGTGTCACCAAGTTGGCCAGGTTAGACACCTAGTTATTAGAGGAGCTAGGTCAAAATTAGTGTGGGGGGGGGGGGGGCATCAAATGGGGTGCATCAGAGATTTGCTTTGGGACCCCTCCTGTTCCTTGTATATACTGATGACCCAGATTGGTAGATTCAGTGGAAGATACTTAGATTTATAATAATAATCCTTGCATTTGATATAGTGCTTTTCACGTCTTCTCGACGTCTCAAAGCACTTCACAGAATATACTGTAAAGTGAATTGACTGTATATTTGTGGGCAAAATGCGGCAGCCAATTGCACACAGCAGTGTCGCGCAAACAGACTTCGATTGAAATTATTGTTTCATTGTTTTTTGGAGGGATTATTATTAGGCGTGTGGAGTAAGAAAACTTGCCCAAGGTTTCACTCTGCCTGGAATTGAACCCAGGTGTCTCGCTTACAGATTTATAGATAGTACCAAGTTGGTAGGAACTGTGGCAATCAGAAGATGCAGGAAAGATCTTACAGATTGCTTGATAACATTTGCAAATGACCTGGACTGGAAAATGAAGTTCAGTACAGATAAATACGAGATATTGCTGCATAGGAAACAAAAACCTAGATGGGTTCGAATTTGCTAAAGGAGCTGAAAGAGATCTAGGAGTCAACTGTTCACCAACAGTGTGAGGTAGGAATAAACAAAGCAAACAGGATATTGGGCTATATTGCCAAATTACCATATCAAAAAACAGTGTGACGCAGGAGTGAAAAAGACAATTAATGTGCTGTATTGCCAAATTGGTTGAGTTCAGATCCCCAAAAGGCTTGTTCAAGTTATGAAGTGTTCCAATCAGACTGCTCCTGGAGCACTGCAACTCTAATTGGTGATAGATTTGGCAACTTTTTAATGAGATTGCAGTATTGATACAATAGTGCAGTAGTCACCGTGTGTTACTCAAGCCTAGAAGTGTATAGAGGAAAAGGAATATTTTTCATATTTTTGCTTTTTGTTGTCCAAATTTGTGAAGTTTAACCAACTGTTTGTGAAACACAAACTAAGCGCTTCCAAGCGGCAACCATTCAGTGTGCTGAAAAAACATCTGCAGGCCTTTCTATGAAAGGTGTGGAACGGCTCCTACACTGTAAATTTCTACAATGCCACAGAATCGTCCATAGTTGGCATTTTTAAAAACAGGCTTTCACCACAATTAAAGCTTTTATTTCTGAACATAAACACAATGTTTCAGCCTCACTGCCATGGACTATATCTATGCTAAAATGTATTTCTCTCTTAAACAGCAACCAATGTCAGTCTGTCAGTCCTCAAATATACACATAATCTGTATAATGGCTCAAATTGACACTTTACCTGCACGTACAAATATCTGCCAAATTGGTGTTTTAGTGTACATTGCTCTGGCAACAGTTTTACAGTTCATTTTGTCTCTGCAGACAAATGAAATCTTGCAGCTTTGCTTCATGGACTGCAGAAACTATAATCATTTCTGAGGATACTGCTAGTGAGGCAAAGGGCAGTGAGGAATCTGATAACAAGGAGTCCTCATTATTTGAACAAAGTTGTTGGGCGTTAGCACGACACACATTGGATATTCGCTGGAGATTCACTTTATGTCCCAAGTGCTATTTCTAGCATTAATGCCCTTCACATTGCCATTTTATGAATGCGTGTTTTCAATATCTACCCAACCAAACTACTTCTACATCTGGTTTAACATTATCTGCATTTTATTGGGTGATAAAATTAGTACGAGATGAATTACCCATTGGAAAAAAAGTCTACCTGACCACCAATAAGAGAAAATAGATCTTTTGCAACAGGTGACTATATTTATTACATCTTTTCTTAATTAAGCAAGCGAATGTAAGCAGCAGTGTATTATAAAACATCTAAAACTACGGGTAAGCTAACAATATTCATGTACTGTATGTAGTCAGTGCCTCTGTACACAATTGACATTTTAGTTATTTTTAAAACACTCATAGTATGTATATTATTAAGTTTGCATTTTATTATAGCTAACTGAATGAGAGTGGGCATGTTTATTGTTATCACAGTAATACCATTGACTGTTCCTTTTCACATAATTCCAGGTTGTCAGTTTCAGCAGAGTCTTCTCAGAAAGCAGCTGGGTGAGGAGAAAACAGCTGAAAGGCTTTACCATTATTCAATTTTCGGAGATCAGCTTCATATTAATTGAGTTAATAATTGAGATCAACAAACCTCTTTAACTATCAGTTTATTAATAGTTATATGCTTTTGAGTTAGTAAGCCAATGGAAAATGGGTTTAATGACCATCCCTATTTGACACTCAACATGAAGTCTCCTGAATGAGTGAAATAATGCAATTCTTTTGTCCAAGAAACTAGTCGTAACTACACTTTTCCTCAGGTAGTGAGGAAATTGTGTCTTCATATCAACAAAAGTTTGAAATGGATCTGATTTACGGGGGAAAAGTGAAGGTCGGAAATAGTTTATATGTTTGCTTTCTTAAGTATCTCAGTGCCTGTTGCAAATAAACCCTCACCGTGAATGGACACACCCAGCACTAAAATTGGTTCTGAAATTATTTTCCCACTTACAAAACAAGTACTGCTTCAGTGCGGACGTAAGATAATCAATTCTGATGTTAAAGACATTGGACAAAACAACCAGGGATTTAATTTACCCCTCACCTCCATAAACAGAATATTGTTCCCACAGTAAATGCAATAAAAGCTTTGAAAAATATACTATAAATTGACCCCCTGAAAAGTAAACAAAAAACTTTCATTTCTATATTTTACTAACTCACTGCTGCCATGTTGCTTCTGTTTTCTTTTTTAAAAAATATTTCCTCCCTCTGTCTCCATCACAAAATACTGTACTATTTATGAGGGGGTTTTGATTTTGATCTTGTTCGCATCTTTGGACAACTTTCTTTTTCATTGAAGTAGTATGTGTGTGTGTGTGTAGGCACACACAACTGTATTTTTTGGGTAAATTAATACTCTTACACAGTTAGTCTATTAACTGCTGACAGCGTAGGATTCTAGTCTTGGATTTGAGCATCTCCCCAACTTCGGATCTTTGTTTTCATTATATATTTTATTTGGAAAATGAAAAACGGTTAAATATTTCTGAAACACATTCACTTGTCAAAGTACAACGCATCAGACTACTCTTAAAATAATTCCAAATCACACTTGCTGGTAAATCATTTATTAAAACATCTGTGAACATGAAATCCACATCAGATTTAACATCAGCAAAGATTAGAAACAAAATACATGAATTAAATGACATGGTGAAACTGTGCAAGTTAATTCAATAAGTATGTGTACTGAAAGAGACTCAGTCCACTTAGGTACAATTTTGTGACATTCATTTGAAATTAAGTATGACAAAATTCCTCAATTGTCTCTGACTCCAGGTACCACTAAGTCAATGATTTTACAATATGTTGCAATGTGAACACAAATAGGAAGTGAGATGGCTAGCCAATATTTTGTCACTTTTAAAAAAATATAAATAAATTCTGTCAGGTAATAATCCATAATTACGTCATATTTTAATTAATATATCACTTAACCTTTATTTCTACACTGTTGTCTTTGACAGTAAACATCAATTCATGAAATATGATACAAGTTCCTCTAGTTAATACTTTAGATTAGTCTTCCTTACTTTTAAACATATATAGCCATAGTCTCTGCATGTGCAAATCAACTGCAATAAAGCATAATTTTTCAAAAAAAACTTTGTTGAATGAAAATAACCACAAATGAAAATATCTGCATTCCATTACAAGAGAATATACACCCGGAAAACCATTAATTACAGTATTAAAGGCAGAATTAGTAAATAACCTTAATTCTTCATGATATACATTCTTACTTTTTTGCATTGAGTTTCTTTGCTGATCATTTTTGTTAAGACATTCCCATCATCTGTTCTAATAAATGAAAGAATAGTAATGATGCATCTACCAAAGGATCAGATGAATATTTACCATAGTGTTGACACCACTTTTCCCAGCAATGAGTTTATAAAAGGCGTTCATAGAACAATAGATAGGCCTGAGCATTCAGCACTCTAGATTCGGGAACTGTTTGTACATGGACATCACTTACATAAACCCACTGTCCAGGTTGTGCTGCAACGGCATCCCTGAAACCTGAAAAGTAAAGATCATTAACAGAATCTGTCAACTGTAAGTGTAAGTCTAAAAGCACCTAATGTAATAATGTCACTGTATTTCCAACTGAAGCACCCAGCCAGCACCTGTGGAAAGCATTTAGAAACATCCTCCCGGAGTGAAAGGCACTATAAAAATATAAATTTTATTGTAGAATTCTACTGTTTTCAATTCCAACGTCTGTGAAGCTGGGTTGTGCATTCAATTCTGTATTGCAGCATTCAACTTCCACTTAGTGGGATCACAGCTTTACAAAACAAACATCCGAAAAAAAATAGCTATTCTGCTACCAGAAGTCAAATGCCATGATTCACAAGACAAATGCTTATACAGCTTTGTGGACTTCAGGACCGAGAATGGTATTGGTGTATCCTGTAAATTTCTAACCAATACATTTAAAATTCTAAATTTGAATCACATATGGTACACTCCAATGTATACAAGTATGAAAACTATGTGAGGGTTGATGAATTTCATTTTTTCCACAAGGTCAAGATAGGATTAAATGCCAATTGGTAATAGTCCTTGCATTTGATATAGCGCCTTACACATGGTTGAGACGTCTCAAAGAGCTTCACAAAGTGCTGTAAAGTAGATTGACTGTGTATTTTGTGGTGCACCACAGCAGCCAGTTGCACACAGCAATGTCCCACAAATAGCTGTGGAATGAGTGACCACATTTATTTGGAGGATTACTGGCCACTCATCAGGAGAAGCTGCCTTCTCTTTCTGAATAGTGCCATGGGATCTTTAACATCCACCTGAACAGGCAGATGAGACGTCAGTTTAATGTCTCGCCCAAAGGACAGCACCCAAATGCAACATAGTCCCAACACTGCATTGGAGTGTCAGCTTAAACTATGCGATTCCAAGTCCCCATGTCGGGATGGAACCCACAACCTTTTGACTCAAGATACAAGAGTGCTACCACTTTGCCAGGATTGCTCTCACTGAAGAGCAGCACGTGGCTGATAACAAAACATTTGAGCGAATTAAACTATTTGCACTCCTACTCTATAATTATCTCATGCAATCTAAGCAAGGTTGAAAAGATATCCTAATAAATAGATATTTCTTCAGTAATTCAAATCCGTATTCACATTCCTGCAATATTGGTCTCAATGTCAAATTTTAGAGATCTTACCTGAATTATTCTTGCTACATGCAATACGCTCAAACAATTTTTTGTTGGGTATTCTATACTTCACATATGCTATGTAGTGACCTCCACGCATAGACCCACAATGTTCCACGATACCATAAAGACTGTAGAGCACTTGGTTTCCCTCTCCAACATTCTAAAAAGATATGGACACAGAGAAGAAAAACGATGAGAAAGAAAATACAGATAATCTATAAAATGGCTAATAGATTCTTAAGAGGGAATATTCATTCAAGTATACTATTATTGCTCAAGTATAATATTAACTTCTAGTTCCATTGCTCCCATTACATAAAGGAACGTTTGAAAGCACTTGGCAAATGCAGTGATGAGCACGAAGTGGAGGAAAAGGAGATTTAAAGATTTTGAACAAAGGTACAATTCAAATCATAAACTTTTAGGCAGAAATAGAGGTAGCAAGTAAAGTGGGTTTGGAAGAGAGTTACAGAGTGCAGTGACTGAAGGCTTGGCTACCAATAGTGGAGCAAGAATGGGAAACAAGCAAACACAATCATAACTAAAGAGGGTATGAGCGGGCACCTAAATGGGAATTAATATATATTCAGCCATTGCAAAATGCAGTTCAAATAATTAGAACGTTAAGCAAGAAAACACTTTCATACACAAATTGATAGGAAATTTTTGCTACATAAACTCATGTAAATAACCTCACTGATACATATCTGAATAGGAACAGAATTCTTCCTGCACTACACTTTAAAAAGAAAAACAAAGCTTATTGTTGGGCAGAGATTTTGAATAACCAATGAAATAACCAATGAGAATGTTATTTCAAAGCATTTTTGTTAAGCAAAGAACAAACCTTGCAGTTAGATGAACAAAATGGTGCCAAATCCAGTACTAATGGAAAATCCACATGTCTATTCACTTTCCGCAAGCTCAAACCTGCCTGAGGAACAAAATAATTATTTATTCATTTACTCTACATTATGGATGGATTAAAATGTAATGACTGAAGCTGTATTTTGTACTTTTGCTGTTATTACTAAAGAATAACATTATATAAACAAAATATCAAAAGCAAATATATCTCAGTATTTAAAAAATTAAAAGATCCAGACAATGATATCTCAACAACCATCTATAGTAAACGCTAAAGATGCAATCAAATCTATGTATTGCTAGATGAATGCTCAGTATCATTTAAAAGAGGAAGAGACTATCAAAAGTGAACGTGGGTCCATTGCAGGCAGAGACAGGAGAAATTATAATGGGGAATAAAGAAATGGCAGACTCATTAAACAATTATTTTGCTTCTGTCTTCACGTTAGAGGTCATTGAAAACTTACTGAAAATATAGGGGAACCTGGAGGCTAATGTTAGTGAGGAACTTAAAGAAATGAATATCAGTAAAACAATAGTACTAGAAAAATTGATAGGATTAAAAACAATAAATCCCCTGGACCTGATGGCCTGCATCCTAGGGTTTTAAAAGAGTTGGCTGCAGAGATAGTGGATGCTTTGTTTTTGATATTTCAAAATTACCTGGATTCTGGAATGGTTCCCAGTGATTGGAAGCTCACAAATGTAATGCCGACATTTAAGAGAGGTGGGAGACAAAAAATGGGGAACGATAGATCAATCTGACATCGGTGGTAGGGAAAATTCTAGAGTCCTTAATTAGGGACGTCATCGTGGGGTACTTAGAAAATCATAACATGATTAGGCAGAGTCAACATGGCGTTACGAAAGGGAAATCATGTTTAACAAATCTTATAGAGTTTTTTGAGGATGTAACTAGCAGGTTAGATAGGGGGGAACCAGTAGATGTGGTGCATTTGAGTTTCCAGAAGGCATTCGACAAGGTGCCATATAAAAGGCTGTTGCATAAGATTAGAGCCCATGGAATTAAAGGCAATATATTTGCATAGATTGGAGAGTGGCTAACAGGAAGAAAACAGAGAGTAGGGATTAACGATGGGTCCTTCTCAGATTGGCAGGATGTGACTAGTGGAGTATCACAAGGATCAGTGCTTGGGCCTCAATTATTTACAGTCCATATCAATGATTTAGATGAGGAAATAGAACTTAATATATCTAAATTCGTGGACGATACGAAGATAGGTGGGAGAATAAGCTCTGAGGATGACACACGAAGAATGCAAAGGGAAACAGACAGGTTTGGTGAGTGGGCGAGAAGGTGGCAGATGGTATTTGAGTAAATTAGACCTATATTCTCTAAATTAGAAGTGATCTTATAGAAACCTATAAGATTCTTAAGAGTCTTGACCTGGTAGATGCCGTGAGACTGTTTCCCCTGGCTGGAGAATCTAAAACTAGGGGCTATAAGATTAGATTAAGGGTCAGCCTTTTCGAACTGAGTTGAGGAAACATTTCTGAATTTGTGGAATTCTCTACCCCAGAAGGCTGTGGATGCTTAGTCCTTGAACATATTCAAAACTGAGGTTGATAGATTTTTAAAGGATAGAGGAATTAAGGGATATGGGGACAGGGCGGGTAAATGGAATTAGGTTAGAAGATCAGCCATCATCTTATTAAATGGCGGGGCAGGTTCGAGGGGTCAAATGGCCTACTCCTATGTCTTATGGTCTTAAAAGTGTACTTGGAGATAAATTTAAAGAAATATGCATAGCAAAGAGAAAAACAATTGAGAAATTAGTTTTAAATTTCTAAGCCTGTAAATAATGAATAAGAGGTTTACAGCATCCAAATAGAATGGTCTTCAATATAAGATGTTTGGATTTGATTTATTGTTAGATTAAGATTTTTTTAAGAAAGCAGCAGATGACTGTCAGCAACGATTTAAGAACCTTTCACATATAAACATAAAATGAAAACCTTATTAAAATCAGCCCAGTTATAATGCTTTCAAGCAACTTTGTGAGAATTACCTGGTGGAATCTTTTAAGGTGAAGATTTAAGACAGGTGGGACGGCAGTAATCAACATTTGCTTCCGAGCATTTGTGTACACAGGCTCAGGCTTTTTCTCTACAAAAAAAATAAGATTAAACAAGCATAAACAAGCACATGGAAAATGTACAAAATGTAAAAGGAGGAAGTTATAACTATTTGCGGAAAGAGCCAAGTAATAAATCTGGTATTACTGAAAGCTTCCAGATATAATAATAATAATAATAATCCTTGCATTTGATATAGCGCTTTTCACGTCGGGAGGACGTCCCAAAGCGCTTCACAGAACATACTGTAAAGTGAATTGACTGTATATTTGTGGGCGAACGCGGCAGCCAATTGCGCACAGCAATGCCCACAAACAGTCGTAGATTGAAAATGACCAATTTAATTATTGTTTTTTTTTTGGAGGGATTATTATTAGGCTCTGTGTGGAGTAAGGAAACTTGCCCAAGGTTTCGCCCTGCCTGGAATTGAACTCAGGTCTCTCACTTGCAAAGCGGGTGCTCTAACCACTGAGCTACAGGACTCCACAACTAAGAAGCTGCCAATAAGTCTAACACAACAACACAAAAGGCATAAGAAATGGAAGGTTTATGTTATCTAACAATTTATTTATCAACTTTCATTTTAGAAAGATGTCTCAAAAGACTTAAAACACAAATATTTTACTTTCAGTGGAGGAGGTAGAGGAGGAGGTTTTTTTTCCTGGTGTCCTAGCCTACAAATGCAGAGAAAATACAGTTTACAGTGAAATCCTGTGAGCAATGTTTAAGACATCCTCCCAATGTGAAAGGCACTATATCAAATGCAAGGATTCTTATTATTATTATTACCATTGTTCTGTAACTGTTTACTAGGAGATGCACAAGAGTTTTATAGATTGATGTATTTACTCCAGACACGCTTAGTTTCTCTTCAAAAATTATAGATATTCTTTAAAAGTCAGGGACTCTGTGTATGAAACGTATGAAATGTATGTTTTTTAAACACAGAACACTAATTCATCAGTGTACCTGGGTTGTGTTAATAATGTAAAACAACACTAGATGGCAGTGTTCACTAATTGTAATAAAAACATTAATATTAACCAAGATACTAAATACTTTGAATGTTTGATTTTATAACAAAATAACTATCATCCATAGAGGTAAACCCAGTATGGTAACATTTATAGATTAGATAAATAATTGTAAGATGCTCAAGTTAATTTGTGAATTATGCCTGGATTATACTGGGGGCAAAAGTTCAGCATCGGATGTTGCTTTAGAAACAACACAAGTGTCAACTATGGTAATTCTGTGAGTCCCATTCCTTCAATAACCTTCATAGCCAATCAAAGAACTTGGAGAAGGGGGGGAAGAAGAGCAGGTAAAAATAGGGCTTGGTGCCTCCTGATGAAATAGAAAGTTTATACACTTAATAATAATCTCTGCATTTGACACAGCGCCTTCTCACTTCTTCGAGACGCCTCAAAGCGCTTCACAGAATATACTGTAAGGTGAATTGACTTGTATATTTTGTGGGTGAAAATCCACTCATCCCCAAAATGCATGTTCTTTCTCATCTTGATGAGTCTAACACAATACAGTGTACTGCATAAGTGTGCTGCTGGGGTAAGTTGATATTTAACCAAATACTGCTTGATTATTTTGTAGTTTGGTGGGTTACTGTTTGTTCCACAAGTACCTTGCCCAAGTGACCAATCTTCATGTGAGTTAGAGAGATTTGGCATGTCATTGGACAGCATCATTGTGGATGGTATCACAAGCCCATTCTCAGACACACCTCAAGAGGGATGTAATTGGATGGCAATAAGGAACAGGAATTTGACTGATTTTCTCCTCCGCTCTAGTTTCCCTGTAATTGTTTGTCTGTCTTAGTGCTGAACTGGGTGGTGATTGTATTCACAAAGTCATCTGCATCTCTACAGTTGAGTAAAATATTTCTCCCATAGTGCTTTGTAATTATCTGACACCCACCTGCTGAATGTGCCTTCTTTTGTTGTTTTTGCCTTTTTTCTGTACACTTTTCACACAACAGTTTATTATTACCCATAAGGAGATCCACAGATGTGAACTGATGGAGGCAGGATTGAAGTGAACATTCCTTGGGTTTGGCAACATAGCTCTGAGACAGCGTCTGAAATGCTGTAGTTGGGTTTTTTGATATGACAGATCCTGCTCTTGTATCTTGAATGTTGAATGAAACACAATCTGTCTGTTCCTCAATAACAGAATCAATAATTAGATTTTCATTTTTGATACTGTTGAGGCTGAGCTTCGACATTGCACTGGATATAGAATCATTATAACTGAGGTCCTTGTGTTTAGATTGCACCAAATCACCATTGAATAGCACGTGGTTGATCGTTGCCATATTAAAATTGGAATCTATGTTGCACTTCAGGGAATCCACTTGTTTTGAAGGATTCTCACATTCGGATGCTTCACCATCTGCATCATTGCTTCCATCTGATTGATTGCCATCTTTTTCACTGCCTTCGGATTGACTAGGGTTATTGGCTTCTTCCAACTTGGGCTGACAAAGTGTCAGATTACTGTTCTCCTCTTGGTGTTCATTACTTTGTTCTACTGAAGCATGCCAACTTCTCTCATCGTCTATGGATCTATTCCTTCCTTTTATTCTTTGTTCGTTTGCTTGACTCTGCTAACGCACAACAATGAAAAGGTGAGGTCTTACAACGTTAATACCTCAACCTGTGAAGGTTGAATCAAGCAAGACAAAATTTACAGCATCCTTATTCACTCACATTAGCCACTATAAAGAATTGAAAATTCAACTAATGGATTACCTAACACAAAATGAAATGGGAGGGGAATATTTTAACCTCTCAGCAAAAAAAGAAAGTCATGACTTGCATATGTACGAAGGAAATATTGATGTGCACAAAATCATTAGACCATCTTAAATATACCAAGTGGTAGACATTTTGCAAATAGATTAAGATACTTTATTCATCCTTTAAGTATATCATTGTAAAATACATTGACATTTAGATCATTGTCTAAGAATGATTAAATAGTTTCAACACAAAATTAAATTGTGGGAAATGTATGAATTTCCATCTATGTGACAAATGGACAGACTTTGTCAAATTTTTTGATGGAAGAAGAGTTAATAAAACCCACCTGGTTTAACCATATGTAGCTGTACTTTGAAGTGTAGATTTATTTTCCAATATTACCTGATATAATGTTTCATCTTTAGTAACTAAGTAAAACATACATAGACAATTGCACAAACACTCCATTTGTCCAATACTGTACACTTAAATGTTCTTGCATCATATCCTAAGAAAGTGAGAATTTATCACATTATTTACAATTTCATGTAGAGGGAGAATACTAATTAATCACACTGGAATAATAAATGATAATTTAAAGAAAAATTCAAGCAAGTCTAATTTGGTTTGGGGCTACTTTATCATCATGACTAATACAATTAATCTTTGGTCATCTAATATTTTAATAGTTTTATTTTCTCTCTTTGCCTTCAACTCATTAAAAAATCTGTAATTTCAGGGAAGGACTATTTGCAAAAGTGAGAAGGACCTTGATAATGAATATCAATTAACATATCACAATGGAGGTGATTATGGGAGGTGAAAAGAGAAAAGTTACCAATTCTTACATGACATAAATTGGTAGTTTGGATCCTTAACATGGTACAGCATTATAATATGGCTTGTGATGAGGACTCTTTAAATGCTCTCCCAATTAAACTTCCAAATGCGTGTAACACTCCTGGGTCAAGAAGCATTGATGCTTGTTGTTGGTGACATGTCGGTATTCTCCTTCATTTGCTCATCTTTCAGTCCTTTTATTTATAGCCTATTCAACAGACCAACACCAATACAACAATGTACCCTTACCTTGCATTTTGTTAAAGCTGATTTCCTGGCATTCTTTGGTTGATATTTAGTTGGGGTAGAAGACATAACACAAGTGTCCTGCTTACTTGACATTGAGATATTTTCCTGAGTTTCTGCATCCTGTATGGTCTGATTTTTATGTATTCTTCCTAAAGGCACTGGTTTTGCAGCCTGATTAGGGTTTAAAAAACATTACAACTATTGTGCTGGAAAACACAATATCAGCATTTGAATTGTACAATATCACTTTTAGATCAAACTTTTTTTTGAAATAAAAGCTTGGAAAACAGCTTATTTGTATTTTTGTACTGACAGCCATTTTCAAAGAAGTTACTGAGCACTATCTATATTATTCAGAGTTCGAACATATCAGTTGGGACTCATTTGCATTAGCAAAGGCATTGAATGCAGATTAAAAACAAAGCAGTAAATAGATCAAAATTTACCACTATGAAAATAGCAATACTCTAGAACTGGGTGGTCCAATTTGAGAAAGGTCTGCGGGCCGCATAAGCAATATTTTGTGTTTCCCTTACATAACACCACTTACACAGCAACTTTTTCATGTTGGAAGGACATCTTGACTCTGTTGGCTGGGCACCTGATCTTGGGGTGGGAGGTAAGAGAGGTGGGATGGGAGGGAAAAAGCTAACCAAAAGCGTGGTCAAAGAGTTAGGTTTTGATGTGCCTTGAAAGAGGGGAGGGAGGGAGCGAGTAAGAGGGACGCCACTAATGGAACTCCAGAGAGCGGGGGCAGAATGGCGATAGGGGGGCAAAGGGGTGGGGGGACATAAAACTAGCTGAAGAGAATGGCTGGATCGGGAAGTCGCAGAGGTAGGGTGAGGAGGGAGGTGGAATGAAGGACATAGAGGAGTTTTTCACTGGGGAAAGAGGGAACTTTCTATGAGGAAATGCACTGCATGGCCAAGGAAGACTCCGATCATCTGTCCTGACAGTGAACCATGAAACACTGCCCTCAATTCTCCTTTCTCTCTCTGCTCTCTCATTCTTTTTGTTTCTCTCTCTCCCGCTCTCCCTCAATCATTCCCTCTCTCTACCCCCCTTTCTCATGCACTCTCTCACACGAACACTCTCTCCTTCTCTCACACTCTCTCTCTCTTATTGTCTCACTCCCCTTCTCACACCCTCTCTTCCCTCTCACACGCCACCTCCCCAATCAATCACTCTCTTCCCCCTCACCTCATCTCTCACACACTATCTCCCTCTCTCAATTACTCTCTCCCACACACAAACTCTCCATCCCCTCTAACGCTCTCTCAATCTCCCCCTCGCTCTCTATTTTTCACCCCTCCCCAGATTTGTTGCAGCATTTAATATAATAAATATATATAGTATATAATATATATAGTATATAATATAATAATCCTTGCATTTGATATAGCGCATTATCACATCTTTCAGAGTATACTGTAAAGTGAATTGACTGTATATTTTGTGGGCGAAATGTGGCAGCCAATTGTGCACAGCAGTGTCCCAGAAACAACAACAACAAGATTACATTTGTATAGCGCCTTTCACGTCGGGAGGACGTTCCAAGACGCTGGACAGTGTACAGCATTTCAGACCCCAGCTGGGGTCAGGGGGGGAGAAGGGAGGGGAGGGGAAGGGGGTGACCAATGGCATGGTCGAAGAGGAGGGTTTTGAGGCGGGACTTGAAAGAGGCTAAGGAGGGGGTGAGTCGGAGCGATTGGGAGATGGAATTCCAGAGGTTGGGGGCAGAGTGGCTGAAGGTGCTCTCAACAATGGTAGGGTGGGTGGGTTGGGGACGTGGAGCCTGAGGTGCAGAAGCGGTGGCACGAGCCGATCAGGAGGGCCTCAGTCTTGTTCACATTTAAATGTAGGAAATTTGCCCTCATACAGGACTTGATATCCGACAGGCAGTCTGTCAGTACAGCAGTGGTCCTGGAGTTGAGGGTAGAGGCAGAAAGATAGAGTTGGATGTCATCCGCATACATATGGAAATTGACCCCATATCTGCGGATGATGTCACCAAGGGTGACAAACAGTCGTTAATCAAACGACAAAATTATTATTTATTTATTAATTATGAATCACCATCACAGCATCATATTTAGGATCTGCAATGTTTTAAAAATAGGAGTGATTTGTGAATTATTACACAAACAGACATGGGAGAAATTCTTTACAAAAGGAAATTTACACCACAGGAAAATACAATTTATATTTCAAATATGCATTAATTTAAGGTCACATTTTTTTTACAAAATAATTTCCAGACCTATTTCATGCAACAACGTAAACACAATGTCACCTTATTGTGTTTTACTTGTTGTATTCGTTACTTTGCAATGTTCATTATTCTTCATTTGAGAAATTACTAGATTCCTGCCAGAAAGCATATATACATGCATCATAATCGGGATATTGAAGTTTGATTGTCACTTAACACGTGTCATAAGTAGAGTATTTGTCTTACCCTTTCTTCTATAATTGGAAGTGAAAGATCAATGAAGGGCTCTTTAACAGTTGAAATCTGAAACACAATTATTTCAAAGATAATCATACACAACTCAAAGGGCAACAATTAAACTTTCTTTCACAACAGAATACCGCAACATATAAACAGAACTAAATTATAGTTTATTACTGATCAAAAGAAAGCAATTTCCAATAAAAGGATAGAACAACAGATGCACAAGACTAACTTTGAGATGAAATCATAAACCCACGAGACATTCTTTAGCTGTTCTAAACCCATTCAGTCTCTCAATCAGGTTGGAGTCTCTAATCATTTATTGGCTTAATCTTTTCCAAGAATAAATATTGTGCAATGAGTTCTGAGGAGGGTTCCAGAGACTCAGTTTAATGTGGAAGGGTCCACAGAGCGTATTATATAGCTTTGCGACATACCTGCTTCAATGTTCCTCAGAAAATAATTACTAAATTGTGTAGAAAATCCTTCCACTGAAACTTTAAACTACAAGTTTCAAGTTATATGTTTAATAATCATCTTTACGATTTGACAATGGGAAATCTTCATGACTTCCTAAACAAGGTAAATCATAAAGACTGCTCGGGACTAGATTGCTAATGTCATTGAAAAGTGTTAAAACGCTTCATAAGTAATTACTGTCATGTATACTGAACATAATAACAAAGTCCCCAAAACAGCCATAAGGGAAATAAGCAATTCAACTAGGATTGTTGCACAAAACACCAGGATAAACTGTCTTCCCTTTGTCCAATAACAATATCATCAAGGGTTCGTTAACATCCACTTGAACAAACTGATTTTTTTNAATATATCATCTGAAGAATGATACTCAGAGTACTACCCCAGTACTGAAGTATTAGTCTAGTCTGTGAACTCACATCTCCACAAAGAACCTGAACTCATAAACATCTGACTTAGAGTATTATTAGCAGAGCAAACCTTTAACCAGAAATTATTCAAGTGAGAAGTTGCAATTGTGAAAAAGTAACAGAAGCCCAATTCTTTTAAGAAAATAAAAACATACAGATTAAAAATTTGGCTAGATCTGCAGTTCATTATAATGAATGTATATGTTTAGCCTATCTAAAAGTTGCCGCGTTTCACCCACAAAATATAGTCACTACAATTTACAGTATATTCTATGAAGCGCTGTGAGACGTCTCGAAGATAAGGCCCTATATCAAATGCAAGGATTATTTTTATTATTATCTAGTTAGAAAAAGGTTTAAATATTTTAGGTTTACTACAGTGGAACACAAGTTATGGTAACTAATACTCACATGTGAACATTCCTCACACATGATGATATTAATCAGCTCTCCAACAAAGATTTGATCAACAAAGTTCATCTTCACACCTTCTTTGCCGTATACTGAAACAAATCATAAAAATTAAAATTTAGGTCAAAACTAATGAGTTAATTTAAATTTAACAATGCATACAATATTATAATAGAATTTACATTTATATAGTGCCTTTCACGTTGGGAGGAAATCTCACAAAGTGCTTAACAATGCTGGAGGTGATCCCCAGTGATGTGGAGGGGAAGATGACCGATAACAGGGTCAAATAGGTATCCTTTACGTCATGCTTTGAACAAGTTGTTAAGACCAAAGTGTTTTCCAAGTTATTTAGATTATTATTGCCGCAGCTTTTATTCTAAAAAAGTGGGTCATAGAACCTTGTTATAATTGTAATGCAGGACCATTTATAGTGTGATTGAGGTGTGGATCCCAACATTTACTCATCAAAAAATGCACCCAAAAAGCTTCAAATCAAATGGTCTTGCTTCAAAATGCCAGCCAGATAATTACGCATTAAGTAAGGGCTAACGTCCAGTTCATCAGGTGACTGTTGTCACTTCTTGACACTTTCGTCAATTTTCTGCATATTTTTACAGTGGCTGTGGAAGCGCTTACTTGCGATTCCGCCTTGTTATGACCTTGAATCGGAATTTATGGACCCCAACTATCGTGTTATGATGGGTCACTCTTGAATTAGTTCTTTTGATTTTGTTTGAAAGATACAGCTTGCCAAGTTCAAGCTGCTGCAACTACACCAGATGGCGCCTTTGAGCCATGCAACTTTACCTTTTACTTTCCGTTTGGTCTCCTCATCAGCAGTTTTGACTGTTGGATTGTTGAAAGCTTTCAAGATACCACTCTGTATACGCTGTATAACAGATATAAAAGCATCAGTACATTACTTATGCCATAATACCAGTAAATATAGTCACTGCCTCAAATATTTGCTAACTTAATCACTAATGTGAGAAAATGATGCCAACATCAAAAAAGACATAAGGTCTAAGAAGAATCTGGGTTAGATATTACAGAATAGAAGTTCCATATTTCTTACAAGTTTATTTTGGGAGAACAATAGCCAGCATAGAATCCACTAAGCTGACTTCTACCTTGAGACATTTTTAAAATCTAGTGAAAAATTGAAGGATCAAAGAAAAAATGTCTAGTAGTTTTTAATAAGTTCAAAATAGGTCCTTTTAAGAAGTTATTTTAAATTTATAATTCGTTTCTTTAAATGCACATTAATTTAATTCCAAATGAACATAATTGCTGATAGCACACTTGGTAAATCAATATCAATTGGGCTTGTATTTACTTGTGAAATAAAAGGCAAAAGTTCTTAGCTATCTGATGGAGTTACGTTGAAAACAATTGCCATATATAGCATTAACCTTTGCCAATTAGCAAGATAGGATCATTAATAGTAATTTTAAGGCTTAATTTCAGAATTATAAAACAAGGCACATCTTAGCAAAATAAGTATATGCACAATTTTTACCATCATTGTGAAGAATGCCCAGTTTAAATTTTGCTGTACTTAAGTTTAATGCATTTGAGAACAAATGATGTATAAACAAGACTGAGTTAATAAGTATTTAAACAAATTTCCATGTTATTGCTATAACTCCATACATTCATTTTAATGAAAAAGTTAAATAAAAAACAGACCCTAGGCTTTGGTACTTTCCTGTACATTGACTGTTTTACAGAAGCCAAGACTCCAGCTAATCCTATGAGCACCCATGTTGCATTGAACACCCATGTTGTATTGTATTTGAGCACCCCTTTGAACCAGCAAGAAAACATACAGGGCAGCTTTAAACATTCCATATACTGCAAGACATGGTGTAAAAACCACATTTCATGCATTAATTTGTAAATCTAGGGCATGACGTGTAGTTCCAATTGCAAATGACCTTTTGTCCATGACATAAAAGCTGTAATACAATTTATATAGCTATTAAATGCTAATTAATTGCTGAATTAATTCAATTGTTTTGCCTGGAAATTTAAGGAATCCCCGTGTTGCAGGATTCAATCACTAGAAAATGAAAACTTTCTGGGGAAGCTTTTTTTTTAAAAAAAGGAAACATTTTGCTTTTATTTCTGATAAGATTCTTAAAAGCAGTCAAGCAACCTAAAGCTTTTTTTTAAAATCAATCTCTACCGGTGACATTTCAACAAACATATTTCTATAATCCATGCAAGTTTAAATGGCCAGATAGGGCAGATAATTTGGACGAGTACAACCCCGGCAGATTTAAAATAAAATATAGATTTGGACCAAAAATACCACTGTAACTTTGATTTTTTTTTATAAACAGAAGAAAATTGTTTAGCACTGAAGTTGCAAAATCTTTCCTTTTTGCAGCACTTGTGTTGACATATTCAGCAAACTGAAATGCTGCCCAGTGAGCTACCGAAACCTAACCAGGCCTTTTTCTAAGTATAAATATAGTACAGCTGAGGAGGAGCTTTATGTATACCCAATATAAGCACAGGCTTTTAAGTCAATCTAAATTACTTACTCAGGTTTCTAAATATTAGAAATGTTTTTTAGTTGACATGCTTGGCAATGCAATTACTAATATTGGGATATAATGTGTAGTGTTTTGTAATGGGATTTGTTTAATAAAGAAACATGAAGTACTTCATGGCAATTAATTGAAATTCCATTACAATACCATGTATTTTCAGAGCAGAATTATTGTGATGCAACCCAACACACTTTCTTCTTTGGTTTCTTTAATAAGGAACTCAGTTATAAATCACTTCATATTTAGATCCCATTATGATTGTACTAAGAAGTGAATTTTGATTTTTTTTGAAAAATACAGAACATTGTAAAAACAATTCAAGTTGCATATACTCCTGATGACTGTCTGAGCTGGTATGTTTAATGAACAGACCAAAAAATGTATTTCTGTCCAATTGCAGTTAGCCTGATTCCATTTCACAGGCAGTCAACAATGCTACATTGCTTTTATGAAGATGTATCAAACTACACAGCAGGGAGGTGGGGACCAGCAGGATTTGAAGTATGGTAGTAAAATAATACTATATAGAGGAATAAGGATACAATATGCTCCTCTTAAAAATATTAACTTATAAATGATGAGTATTTACTACTGTAACATTAATCCGATTTATTACTGTAACATGCGTACAACTAAAATGAACAGTTGCATTTAAATAACAAGTAAAGATTTGACTTCTGTTTGGCATTAGCACATCTTCAGTTTTCCAAAGACAGCATTATTTACTGGTTCCATTATTTTAATTTATTTCTATTCAATATATAATTTAATATTATTTAATACACCCTATTATAATCTTTCTGTACGTTAAAATCTCATGGGATCAACATCAAACAAAATATGCCCTCAGATTAATTTGAAATCAGTGCAAGAGATTTTGTCTTGAACTGGTTGAGTTCTACAAGTTTAAATATCAGTGCAATGAGCTCATAATGTGATTTACCTGTCAACCCATAAAGCATAACCATAAGTCAAGATACTGCATTGGGACTCCAGAGAGAATGATCAATCTCAGAAGAGGTAATATGTCTACAGCATAGTGAGAATTGAAAGTGTTAAAATATATTGCTTTCTAACAGAGTAACTATTAAACACAAGGGTATTTAGAAATATAGAACCCTATTAATTAGTTTTGCTAAAAAAATAGAAATCCATATCCTCAATAGAACTGAATAATGTGGTTTGACATTCTCCCCTATTGGACAGTTCTGAGACCTTTTTTTTAAATTGAAGGCTTCATAATTAGTACTGAAGCACTTTAGTCAGAGGGAAAATTATTTATTGATTTGGTTTTAAGAAAAACAATTATTTAACTGAAAACTAGTTATTTTTTTATCAAAGATAATATTGTAAAATGATGGTCTTCTCAACAACACACTGATAAATGGGTTATGTATTTAAAAACAGTACATAAACATTTAAAGAAAACATGAGGAAGCACTGATATATAATTAAACTCATGTTTGTTGCCCTACTTTAATGCAATATTGGTCAATTTGTGAATTCAACCTGGTCAGTCAGTTTGTTCTCCCTTTGCAGTTTCCACCCTATGGCCAACAATCTAGACACACAAGCAGTCAATAGATAATTGCTCAGCTGAATACCCCTAAATAGGTTTAGGACCATCAGTAGGCCCTTTTGTAGAGCTTTGTGCATTGAACCATCTATTTAGGTCAACAAAGACATCATCCCTGCATGGTCAGGGTGCTAGTGACAGTGCTGAAATACATTAATCAATTAGCAGCAGGCTTCAGCCACTTCTGAATCTCAGCACAAACCAATCTATGGCAAATATTGGAAAAAACTACCCTGCAGGAGTTGTCGATTGTCATCCCACCCTATCTTCATTAACCCCCCTACCCCCCAGTCAAGGTCTGATTCTGATTTCACACTGAAGTGAACGTGGATACGTCACTCAAGAAGCTAATGTCTGACTTGTAAACAATAGCAATCAGGTTTAGTTTTCATACTGCATTTCTTGGTTTATAAACACAGTCATCGAGTTTGAAGGGATTTGTTAAGTTCAGTAGCTGGGATAATACATGCATTTTATAACCTGCACTTCAGTGGGTTTTCTAAACAGCCTGAACAAGAAAATGTTAGTGGTGGTAATCTGCTAAAGGATTCTGGTGGCAGGCACATCGCTGCAGGCTCTCACTCAACACCACATGGTAGTGACACTCCACAACAATAACTCGATTAACAGCTGTGGTGTTCCCAGGACAGACAATGCTGTGGCTGCTCGGGTACCCGTGGTTCTGACTGGCACAACTGTCACTGCTCTACAGTTTGAATAGATCCATAGACCTGCCAGTCTAATTTTGTCACACCGTCTAGAACCCTTCAAATCATTGCTGTGTCTCTGTTCCACTAGCTGTGCCTCTCACTATTCTGCCCAAGGATATACAATGACCATTAAAAATAATTTACTGTTTAAATTGAAAATGGACTTAATTGAATAGTACAAAGCATAGTGCAGACCACAGGTGCCCTTTTATTTTTTTAAAAAAATAACAGTTTGATGCAACTTCACTAACTAATGAATACAAAAACACCTTGAAATATTGTCAAGGTCATTTTCATGTTTCCTCTTTTTTTTAATCACATTCTTCCCTCATATTACGATCTTTTGCACATCTATGTGAAGATAGTAAGCAGACAGGCAGAAGCCCATTTACAGGTTTGTGCATGACACATTTTAACTGGGATGCATATGCAATACTGGTGTACTGTGGACCTGCGTTTACTGGAAGCACGGGACAACTAACCTCTGGTGTTATCTAGTTGACTTCCTGTACTAAAAAGATGGCTGACATCTGGGTCACCATGCCACTGCTATCGCTTCTTTTGCACTGTACAGCATACACGCTTTGCACAGGAATAATAATGCTGCATTTGATAAAGCGCCTTATCAAGTCTTTGAGACATCTCACAGAATACACTGTAAAGTGAATTCACCGTGCCTTCAGCTCCCCTCTCGACTCTCTTCCTCCTCCTCGCTCCCTCCCTTCCCTCCCCTCACCCTGACCATTTCCCCCCTCCTCTCTCCCTCCCTTCCCTCCCCTCACCCTGACCATTTCCCTCCTGCTCGGGTCATGACCCAACTGTGCAGCGCCTTGGGACGTCCTCCTGACGTGAAAGGCGCTCTATAAATGGAATCTTGTTGTTGTTGTTGTTGTTGTTGTATATTTTGCACGCTGCACTATATGTAGAATTACAGTTAATGTCGCTCCACGTAGGAAACACTGTCGTCTACTTTGACAATGGTGCTTCTGGTGCATAGTGTACATAGCGGCACGTGCTGCATACAGTGCAGAGTGAAAATGATATCAGCAGAAACTTGGAAGATGGTTATTGTTACACTTGTAACGTGACCACTGAGATACTAACTGTGACAACTGTGTTATAACAGGGTTGCCCTAAATCTCTGAATTGTGTGCTGTAAAGGTTGACTCCCCTTCCAGTTACTTTTTGCCTCACTCAGAAAGAAATACTCTTGCCATTTCCAGTTTGGTTGAAACTAATATTGACCAAAATCTCCAACACTCGAATAAGGGCACCTTGGGGCAAAATAGATCAGTCTTTTAACTTCCATTAATACATGCATGCAATGCACAAGAATGCCAGGGGTAACACTCTTTCAACATAGTCGATCAGAATATACTATGGTTTTGACCAAATTAGACCAAAACTGAACTCAACAGGTCAACACCCACCAATGCAACTTGGCAAGTACTGTAAAAATCACCCACTGGTCATCCAATAGTTCCTTTGATTACTTTGGATCAGGAAGCACCAAACATTAGAACATAATGGTAAAAGAGCCTAAACTTTAATAAGTGGTAGCATGTGCCAAGCAATAACCATCTTCAACCCAGTCACTTTCTCCTGACCTTCAATGGCACAACAATCGCCGAGCCCCCCATTATCAACTTCTTGACGGTCACCATTAACTGAGCCAATCATATCAGCATAGTAGCTGCAAAAGCAGGGCAGAGACTAAATATTCTGGGAAGAGTGGCTCACCTCTAACTCCTGAAAGCTTCTCCCCATCTACACTGCTCAGAATAAGCAGCGTGATGGAATACTCGTCACTCGCCTGGAGGGGTGCAGCTAAAACATTTGAGAAGTGTCAACACTATACAGGAGAAAGCAGTTCTCTTGATCGGTATCTCAGTCACTTAAGTTAAGATTCGCTCTTCTTTCACCGATGCATTGTGGCTAAGTAAGTAAGTAACATGGGAATTTTTGCGATTACCTTAGTTTCCTCAATTTTTAAGGCATCCAGCAAATAGTGAAGTAGTTCCTGGCTATCTTGTTGCTGAAACCCCTTGAACCATGGAGCTCTGTTGAAAATGAAAAAAGAAACTGGTAGCAACCTGATACAGAAAAATCATGTAGAGCAGTAACAAATTCATGAACCCACACGTACAATACAATATATTTATACATTTATATAGCGTCTTTTACGTCGAGAGGACGTCTCAAAACATTCACAATGTTGGCTGAACACCTGAGCCTCTCTAACTCTCAAAATAAGTAGTGTGATGGAATACTCACCACTCGCACGTAGGGGTGCAGCTAAAACACTTGTGAGGCTCAACACCATACATAAGAAAGTAGTTCTCCTGATCTGCACTCCAACCACTCAAATTAAGGGGGAAGAAGGCAGAGGACTGAAAATAGTGGTGGTGGGAGGAAAGATGATTGAAGGCATGATCAAAGTGGGAAGTTTTGAGGTGGGCTATGAAAGTGGGTAGGGATGGGGCAAGTCAGAGAGACTCTGGGAAGGAGTTCCACTATGATTGCAGATTCTATCAGCATAAATTAGTTTAGACAACAGATGCTTTATTAATCACAGTATGTCATAAGCGTCACTCTACTCCTTCCTGAATGACCAACACAAGTATGCCACTTTGGCAGTAATAAGCTGGGCCAATAGGAAAGTGCAGCCGCACGTTTCCCATGGAACCTACTACAAACTCACTCCGCTACAAACCTGCCATGTTGTAGTCTCTGGCCCGGGGTTGTGCGGTTCCGACACTGAGAGGCAGGAGGTGGTGAGCTCCTGTAGCCTCGCTGTTGTGTCTGCCCGCAAACAAATGGCCACACAGTTTTTGTTAAAGAAGCAATTAATAATTTTTTTGCAACAATCTAACATGTGTTATTTCCTTATGTTTAATTTTAACCAATAAAGTGAAAAAATGTAGCAGTAAAATGTACCTCAACAGCACCATTCAACGCCCCACAATTTTCTGCAAAGGTTGTCAAACACACCTGCAATTTTTGGGAAATATTTCCAAACTTTTATATTGGCCCAGGTAATAAGTCACTTTCATCAGGTAATAATAATAATCTTTAATAATCCTTGCTTTGATATAACGCCTTATTACGTCTTCAAGACATCTCAAATCGCTTCACAGATGTACAGTGAATTGACTATATATTTTGTGGGAGAAACACGGCAGCCAATTGTGAACAGCAGTGTCCCATAGTCGTGGATTAAATGACCAAATTAGTTTTTTTTAAAAAAGAGACTATTACCCCGGAAGAGCAATCCGACAAACGACTAGCAACCTGGTTGCTATTTACTGCTAGGTAAACAGAGGTGTGTGGAGTAAGAAAACTTTCCCAACGTTTCGCCCTTCCTGGGAGTCGAACCCAGGTCCTCTCGCTTGCGACGCGAGTGCTCTATCCACTAAGCTACAGGACTCCACACGTTCTATAGAAGTGATTAGTTCTTCAGTAGTAGGGTGGGAGAGGAAGCAGGGAGATCAAAGGCATGATCGAAGAGGAGGGTTTTGAGATGGGGCTTGAAGGTGGCAAGGGAGGTGAGGCGGAGGGACTGCGGGATGGAGTTCCAGAGAGTGAGGGCAGAGTGGCAGAAGGCCCACCTGCCAATAGTAGAGCGAGTGAGGCGGGTGATATAAAGCAGGCTGGAGCCCGTTGAGCGGAGGCAGCGAGCAGGATGGTAGGGGTTTAGGAGGGCACAGAGGTAGGGGGGAGCAATACCATGGAGGGCTTTGAAGGTGAGGACCAGGATCTTGAACTGCATCCTCTGTGTGATGGGAAGCCAGTGGAGTTGGGCAAGGATGGGAGTGATAGGGTCACAGAGCCTAGTGCGGTAGAGGACACGAACTACAGAGTTCTGGATGATTTGCAGCCAGTGGAAGGAGGAGTTGGGGAGGCCGACAGTGGCAGAGGCCGGGCGATGTTGCGGAGGTGGGCAAGGCAGAGCGGGTCATGGTGCAGATATCGGGTAGAAAGGATAGTTGATCAATAGACCATTGATCTATTCATTTAAATTTCCCAAAAGATTCCCTTGACACATGTATCTCTTCGCTTAATGTAGAATCCTTCAATTTGCAGCAGATATTCTATTCATTTTTATTGACTTCATTTGCCTGAGTTACGACTCCTTGATATATCTGCAGTTTCTAAAATTTTAAAGCTGGAAGCCACATCTAGAAACAGGCAGTCGGCAATGTGTGAGTGTAAAGTGCCCACAGCCTTACAACAATCCCCGTAACTTTTTTTTAAACCTAAGGTAGGAGGCAGCCAAGATCTTATAAATAGTTTATACACTGTAAGATATGCACCTGGACCATTCACTAAGAAATTAAATTCAATAATATAAAAGACACTACTGAATAGGAAGTAAAAAATAGGAGTTATGCGGTAGGAACAGAACTTGGCATGAAGCATACTGAAAGAGATTCAAGTCTTATTGGATTGATCACTCACAATGGCAAAATGGTGCGAGACAGCAAAAAGCATGATAAACAAGTTACTGGGGTACTCTGAGAACTCAGCTAAGTTCCGATCACCAGAACTTATGCTGAACCTGTAGATGCCAGCCTGGCTCAGTTGGTAGCACTCTCACCCCCAAGTCAAAAGGTTGTGGGTTCAAGCCCACTATCAGCCTTTGAACTCAGTCTAGGCTGACACTTGAAGTGTTGGAGGATGATGCAATGTTAGAGGCTCTTTCCTTCAGATGAAACATTAAACCAAGGTCCCACTCGTCTGCTCCTGAACAGATTGACTACAAGATCCTCACACACACATCCAACTACCTTCACGCCCAAGCATCTCCCTACCTCTCTGAACTGTTCATACCTCAATCCTCTACTCGGCCCTTTGCTCAGCTAACACAGGCCTACTGTCAATACTTAAACCTCTCTACCCCTAAACTCTGGAACTCTCTGCCTCAATCTCTCTACCTCACCATTTCTTTACCTGCATTTGGCAGGCACTGGCCTGCTTCATTTCCCCGCCTTGCCCACCCCACGATCAGTTTTCAGCCATTCTGCCCCCATTCTCTGGAACACCATCTTGGAGTCCCTTCACCTCGCCGCCCTTGCCTCCTTCAAGGCCTGTCTAAAGACCTTCCTCTTTGACCATGCCCTGGTCACATTCCCACCTTAACCCCTATTGGCTACCACTCTTCTCGAACCCAGCCCCCCATTCGGGTGCAAGCCCTCGACTGTCCAGTGCCTTGGGACATCCTTCTGATGTGAAAGGTGCTATATAAATGCAATTTGTTGTTGTTTAATCCCACCTTCCCCTTGCTCAGTGTCCAACCCCACCACTGCACAGAGTTCTGGGACATTGGCTTCTATAAAGCGAGCTGTATAAATGCAAGTTGTCGTTAATCATGTATTTCGACAATCTCTAGGAACCTAAACTATCTTTTGCAATCTGCCTGCCGAGTCTCGCGAAGACTGTATTCTAACAAACCACTTTTACGTTTTAACCACTTTTTAAAGTTCCAGTTTTATATTCATAAATATATTTTCCCAGCAGCCATTTAGTATTGCCCCAGCCTCAAACATCAGAATGTTTAAAAACTTCACATGGTATAGCACATCAAGCTTTCCCAAGGTACTGAATATTACTCAAGTAATTTTGTGATCTTGTTGACAACATTCTAGAAAAGCCTGCTTAAAAGTATCTTGATCAATAAATGCAAAACGTTAAAACATACAGAATAGACTTTCATCCCTCCATTAAAAAAAAATGCACTTGTTTCTCCTTGAAATCTTGCTGCAAGCAAGATCACTGCAATACTGGAGGACTCTTCAAGATGGTTGGTTGAATATAACATTCACAGATGTGCTGACATATGGAAGCCAGTGCCAATGCACTGCAACCTGTTGTACGGTGTCAGCAGTATCATGATAGAACAGGTTGAACTTCTGCTAAAAGCAATCAAGATCTATAGTAAATTGTCTCAAATGTGGACATGTAATTTAAAAAAAAGCCATTTCCACTTCTTAGCTATGCAAATTAGAATTCACTTAAATGACCTAAAGATTGTGATATTTAATATTGAAATAAATGAATAGTTTTTCTTAAAAAGCAATTGCTTTAAAGAGTTTACCCTGGTGTCCTGGCTAACAATCTTCCAGATAAAATTGGTCATTCACTTCATGGCTGCTTGTGAAACATTGCTGTGAGCAAATTGGCTGTTGCATTTGCTACAAATACACAATCACTACACTTCAGAATACATTGTGCGAGGTATCGATGACATAAGACATTGTAGCAAATACAAGGATTATATTTGATACAGTCTTTACTTTTTGAGAGGTCACCTCAAAACACTTCATAGGATTTACTGTAAAGTGTATTGACTGTACATTTCAAGGCCCTTCCTGTTTGACCTTTAAATTTTAATTGGCTGTCCAGCAGTGCCTAATTGTGCACTGGCAGATTTCAGCAATATGTTTAAAATGCACACTCAGCAAGATAAACAAAAATATTTGCCCACGCAATATTTCCCATGCGATTTGTTCTCACACTCGTGTTCAAATCCATTCACTCCTTGGCACCTCCCTACCTCTCTGACCTCCTCACTCCCCAATCCACCACCTGGCGCCTCCGCTCGACTGGCACCGGCCTCCTGCTCATCCCTCCCACCCCCGCCCCACCATTGGAGGTCGCGCTTTCAGCCACTACTCCCCAAAACTCTGGAACACTCTCCCTCAATCCCTCCGCCTTGCCCCCTCTCCCCTTTTAAATCCTGCCTGAAAACTTTCCTCTTCAACTACCTCCCCACCCCCGCTCGGAATCAGGTTCCACCACTGTTAAGCGCACTGAGACGCTACCCTGTGTGGCAGGCACTATATAAGTGCAAGTTGTTGTTGATGTTGACCATATCTTCAGTTATCCTCCCACCCCCTCTTGATTCCAACTCCAAGTTTGCGTACAAACTCTTGACTGCCCAATGCTTTGGAATGGCCTCCTGATGTGAAAGGGAGCATATAAATGCAATTTGTTGTTGTTGTTGACACAAATTGATGAACCTTTTAAATGGGGGCAAAAATCACCCCATCACTACTCAATC